GGGATTGGTGAGGAGCCAGCCTGAGTGGTTTAACTTTATTACCTTTCTATGGGCAGCTTTATTGTTTCTTTGGGCATGGGCTCACTAGGTGCAATTAGAGAGCCAACCTTGCTTGATCTCTCTGATGCTCACATTTTCTGTTTAGCAAGGACATGGCATGGGGACAAGGGTGGTCTGCCAAGCAAGCCATGCAAAATGTATAAATTAGAACAGTCAAATGGCCAACAAATCTCAAGATATTTGCTTGATTCCTGGAAGTTATGTTCCAAGATATTTGCTTGATTTCTGGAAGTTATGCTCCAAGCAAAGTCCATGCCAGGGTCAGGCCATCTGGCTGGCCCCCATCACTTTTGATATTTTAGAAAGCAGGAAATTCCAGTTCTTGCAAGAGAAAGTGAGTTGCTTCAAGAACTGTATTGTAGGTACGTGTTCCAACATAATGGAGAGCATGATTCATCAGCAACAAAATAGACAGACGCTGGAGCAGGGGCTTAGAGTTGAGGAGGAGATGGGAGGACTCCAGCCACAGAGAACTGGGGCAGGCCGGTGTGTGTGCATGGGGGGGGGGGGGCGGGGGGACTGGAAGGAAGAAGCCGTGTGTTACTAAGTGTCTGGTGGTACAGCCCTGGTTAAGCAAAAAGGCTTCAAGGCAGGCCAGACTGGATTTTGAGGTTTTGTCGTACTCCTTGCTAACTGTGCAATTTTAGGTGAGTCAGTAAACCTCTCTGTGCACCAGTTTCCATACCTACACATAAAGATACTATTTATCCCTGGGGCTTGTTGTGAGGAAAGCGTGAGTGAATCACAGAGCCCTCAGCCCAATGCTTGGCACATCGATGGTAATCATTTTTACTCTGCTGGATCCTCATTCATATGAAGTGAAGGGGATAAAAGAAAACTGATTTAAAACTTGTCTACAGAATTCCTCGACTGCCAGGAAGAACTGTCATTTGGTTGCTGGGATGTTGGGAAGGCCTGGGAGTGAGACCAAAGGGACAAAAATTTTTCTACAAAATAGAGTCAGTGGAATTGGACTTTCTGCAGAGTTTATGAGGGGAAGCATGTGTGTATGTGTGTGAGGGGTGGAAATGGGGAGAAGGAGTGCCGGGAGCCGGTCCATGCTTGCTGTTTCAAGGGACCTGGCATATATGGCATACTGTTCTTAATATGTTTGCTCACCTTCTTGGCACTATGTGTTTTAACCAAGGTCTCTGAGAAAGGTTGTTTCCCCAGGTAGGGATTTTCCCCTGAAGTTAGGGAGGGAATAAAACCTCTTAACTAAGTGCCAGGTGGGTAATTAATCACTTTAACTACGAACAATCATGCTTAAGCTGCATAATCTTTACTCCCTGGAATGGAGATAAGAAACGCCCTAACCTTTGGAATAGAGATTGATAGGATTGGAATCAACTGGTATAAATACAGATGTAAGAACACAGAACTTAGAATACAGAACTTAGAACACAGAACTTAGAATACGGAACCAAGAGAGATGGAACCTAGGCACAGAACCTACACAGAACATTCTCTAGAGACAGAAGAACTTCGCTGGAGAGAACATGGCAAAAGTTCCTGGACAGAAACTGGCATCAGAACCTAGAGACAGAACCTAGCGAGAGAACATGGCAAAAGATCCTGGACTGAACCTGACTACAGAAATTGGCAAGAGAACCTGACTAGAACCTGGTGACTGAACCTGGCTGGAGAACCTGGACAGAACCTGGCTGGAGAACCTAGCAAGAGAACATGGACACAGAACCTGGCTGGAGATCCTAAGCAGAACCTCTCTGGAGATCCAGACCAGAACTTGGCTGGAGATCCTGGCTAGGCTGCTGATCAACTGAACGCTGTCTCCATGTCATCTCTTCTTCGCCGACTCCGTCCATACCTTTGGGGACCCCTGGACCCGCTGGGGTTGGACCCCGGCAAAGGAGGACATAGAAACAGGCAGGAAGGAGATGGAGTCAGTGTGCATGGTGGAGGGCTGAACCCAAGAGGAATGCTGTCCCTGCAGCAATGCCCCGTGGCTGGGACCACAGCGGCCTCCCCGGACAGGGGCACAGTATGCCATGTGCATGGTCCTCTGCATCAACTGCACCGCCCGCCCGCTTTCTCCGCACCCCGAAGCCTGCTGTAAATGTTGCTATACACAGGCAGGGTGCTGTGCGAACTCAGGAAAGAAGGCAGAGGTGTCCGCAGCCTGTGGTTTGGACAAATAAGCCATATAACATGAGCACACGCAAGGTTCAAAATGTGGAAACGGAAGATCAGAACAAGAGGTGAGGAGAAGCAGCACAAGCCTCGCCCTCCCGGCAGCCCTCCTGGGTTCTTCGCCATATATGGGCTGGAGTTAAGCCATCTTATTGACGATGAAAGAATAGAGTGGACCATGTGTCCAAAGGACACGGGTGACAGAGACGGTTGTACGTACTGTCCCATGTCACCCTCTCAGCGGCTCTGTGCGAGATTTATTAACTGTTTTCTGGATGAGAAGAGGAGGGTGTGATGGGAGGTTCTCCCCAGGCTCTTGCTGGCCCACAGTCCTGGCTGAACCCCAGAGCAGTCTACTGAGTCCTAAGCACAACAGAGCAAGTGTGAGGTGTCTGCAGGTGACCAGTGTTTTGGGCGGGAATAGGAAGCTTTTGTCTTGGGACTGAGAACTCCTTTTCCTACACAAAGGGCTTGGTTTTCCATGGTATCCCTGCAGCTAGTTGTCAGGCTGTGCTGTTACTTTAGTGCACAGGCACGACCCTGCTTCCCAGGTTCTGGGTTGCTGCCCATTTCCTGCTCCTGGGGGACAGTTTCCATCAGCTGGTGGCACAGGGCTCCCGGAAAGTGTCTGGCTTCTGCCCTGGTCCGCTCCAGTGACAAACCACATGCTGCCTCTGGAGCACCCCCCAGGAGCTGCTTCCGCTCTGCCTGGAATATCTTGCAATGGCTTTTCAAAGGAGACAAGGTGCTGCGTGTGCCTGTGTAAGGCGGGCTTGCTGGGGGCAGGAGCCCTGGCTGCAGATTGCCTCAAGGGCTTTGTTAGAGTTTTTCTTATATATTCACCTATTAAACAACAGGATTATCATAAAGTGTCAGAGCTGGAAGGACTTTCCAGTTCATTGAGTATATTCAGTTACAGACGAGGCCCGGGGAGGAAGAAAGATGTGCCCAGAGAAACAGCTGCTGGAGTGAAGGTTGGTTCTGGAGACCAGGTCTTGCTCTCCGGGACTATACTTTCTACCTCTCCTTCCCAGCAGGCCTGCAGTCTGCCCCGTGAAGGGGAGAGTAGGCTTGCATTAAAAGCAGGAGCAAGCTAGGGACCACACACAGTGGGTGATGGGCGCTTATGGCTGAAGCATGTCATGCAGGGAAATGGAGAGGAACCTGGACGACCAGCAGTTCCTTGGACGACCTTAGACAAGTCGCCTTGATTGCATGGGCCTCAGCTCCTCACCTGCAAAATGGGATCACTAAATCCCCATGTTGCTCGCTCCCAGGAGGGAGGTAAGATCTACCAAGAGAGGTACTGAAAGGCCCTTTGCAAAAGTTCCATAGCCCTAGTGGGGATTTTTATTAGATTTTTATGCTAATGTTACAGAAACATTAAATTGTAAACTGAGACTGGATTAGTTTCTCTTCTGATAATTCACAGTGATGGCCAAGATAAGAAGAGATCTGACTGTGATCTAGTCCATGGAGCCCACATTTTGGATTTCATGGATCGATGAAATTACCCCAAGTGAAAATTCAGTGACCCGTACAGAGCAGGCAGCTTTTGATTTTGTCTATTGTGACCATTAAAACAAAAAAATAAGTTGGACAAAAAGCAAACCAACTTAACTTCCATCCATATCAGCTTCATCTTATAAAAGAAATACCATTTTAACATTTTAGAAAAGTATATTCTCTCAAAGCAAAGGAGTGCCCCTTACTTACAAATAATTGGCTCTGAGAAAATGGGTGACCTTGTCTTCCTTTTTCTGATTCCACTCTGGACTGGTGGAAACTATCATAGGGGCAGAACCACTAGTTAAAGCCCCTGTGCTTGGCAGCCTATGATGGGAGCCCTCTCCAGGTGCCGTGCTGTGATGTTGTTGGTGTGAGAGGCTGTGTCCAGACACTGTGTCCTCCTTTGGTCCTAAGGATGCTCTGGTGTCTCTACCTGGGTGCCTATGATAACCCATCTTTTCTCTTTTCCTTTTTTTTTTCTCTCTGAGCTGTCTGGTTATCCAGCTGTGCTTGTTACCTAGATTCTAAAGATTACAGAACTGAGATGGGTTAATGTTCTTGGGTGATAAGACCACTGGATTAGAGATGAGGACATCTGGATTCTAGGTTTGGCTCCATATGTCCTTGGACACAACACTTCTCCTCCTTTGTGCTATGGAAAGATTATTCAGATGATCTCAATGTTTTCACCTTTGTTGTGAACCTAACTCTGCTTACCAGTCCTCTGGAGTAGAGACAAATGCATTTTAGTGACTTCAATGATAGGAAGTGTGGAGGGGTGGGGTGGAGAAGAAGGTCTGTTTTCCCAAGTCCTTAACTGCATTATGCATTTTGGCTGCTACCAGTTATTTAATGATTACTATGTATTTGTTGCCATACCAAGCAATGTATGGATGAGATCTGATTGGCTTCTTGAATACCTTCATAAGGTAGTATTATTATTCCCATTTCATAGATAAGGAACTCAGGCTCCTACGTGGAATGTAGAGCCAAGACTCAAACCCACATTTGCCTGACTCCAGATTTCAGGCTCTTAACACAACACTGCTTTGTGTTCCTGTCCATGTCTACGCGACAGCCTATGGGAGACTTGTGGGGATGAGCTTGTGGATCACAGCCTGCTCTGGTGAATCAATTTGCAGCAGCTCCGCCCTAAGCAGCCCACCTCTGCCTCCACCCTCTTTTCTGTTGGGCGCTGCCATGATGTCTCTCGCTGTTGAACAACTATGATGTCATGTGGATGATTCACTACACATTTACTCCTAACCCAAAGGTCTTACCTCCTTTAAGGGGGAATATTCCTGGGGGAGTTGGAATGGAGTCCTAGAAGAGAAGAAAGAAAGAAAGAAAAAAAGAAAATGGTGTGAGGAAGATATTCAATTGAAACAACTCACCTTTTTATTTTCCATTTTGGTTGTCCTCAAAGTACTGTGCAATTTAGAATTCACCTTCCATCTGACTCTTAAATTTTAAAAGATAAATTCACTGACTTAGTTATGATGAACTTGCTCATGCATTTGCTTGACAACATGCCTATCAGAAAAGCAATTCAGTTACTATCCACATTTCACAGGCAAGGAGCCAGGGTTGAGAGAGAAAATGAAAAGTTTATGGCAGCTCAGGGACCAGTATCTGCAACTCAACCCCCAGTCTAGTGCTTTTTTTTTCACCTCCACATGTGTTACTCCCCCCGCTTCAGTCAACATAAGAACAATCAAATATAAATACATGTGGGTTTTTCCATCTTTGTTTCATCAAACAGTAAAAATAGGTTGTAAACATACCTGGGAAGGTACATTTATATCCCTCCTGTGGTTGGAAATTCTGAATTAATTGAATATTTATGTGCCAAACATCATGAGGATAATGAAATAATTAAATTGAGTCCCTGTCCTCTGGATTTATTACCAGCTTAAAATTGGATAGGTTATCCAAATATTTTTAAACATATAACATAAATAAATGCAGATATCTTACATATTTATATATTCACTGTATATTTCATATTTTTTATTCTATAATAAACATGAATATATACATCAATCTTGACACAGATAAGTAAGAGTTTGATAGAAAGAGATTGTCTTCTGGAGGGGCCTCCTGGGCTGGGGGGTTGCAGTGGATGAAAGGGAGGTCTTTTTGAGGTGCACTGAGCAAGTAGGCAATAGAGCAGTTGGGCACAGTTCTTCACCCCAACTAACTCTACAGAGACTAACTTCCGCACACCTAGTCTCCCTCCCCCTACTTCCCACCTCAGCCATGGAGACACCCTTCAGGTGTCCTGCCAAGGAGGAATAAAATGTCTTACTCATCTTTTGACCTGTCCAGGTTGGGAATCTCCTATGGTTCATTGGATTACAATATTAATAAAGACCTAGAGACCTTATAATGCATAGATGAAAACACCTTCCCAATCTATCAGAGCAAGAAGTTAGCAGTTGCCCATATCTTCTTTTCTTAGCGTTTAGTACAAACACCTGGGACCATCTGGAGTTCCCTTTTATTCTATCACTAGAGGCCTGCTGCATGAAATTCATGCACTTGGGCTGGGGGGGGGGGTCCTTCAGCCCAGCCTGTGCCCTCTTGCAGTCCAGGACCCCTTGGGGGATGTCCACCTGCTGGCTTAGGCCCACTAAGCCGGCAGGCGGACATCCCTCTCGTAGTTCTGGACCCCTTGCTCCTTACTGCCAGCCTTCTCACTGCTCCTAACTGCTTGGCTTGCTGCTCCTTAGTGCTGCTGCAGAGGTGGGAGAGGCTCCCGCCACTGCTGCTGCGCTCATCAGCAGTGAGCCCGGCTTCTGGCTGAGCGGTGCTCCCCCTGTGGGAGTGCACTGATCACCAGGGGCCAGCTCCTGCATTGAGCGTCTGCCCCCTGGTGATCAGTGCATGTCATAGCGACCGGTTGTTCTGCCGTTTGGTCAATTTGCTTATTAGGCTTTTATTATATTGGATTTCCCCAGGGGCTCTGGCCTTTGCCTTCCAGGTAAGTGGATCTCTTCTCCAGTCCAAGTGGGTTGTAATGAGTTTAGAAGTCTCCTGAAGGCAAAGCCCTAGCATAGCACTAATCTGGAGATGGTGGAAGTCAGTCTAAACTTTTGGGCGTCAGCTTTTCAGGGGAAAGAAAGTGAACTTGATTTGGAAGGTCCTTCCCTCTTTGCACTAATAGTCTATGATTTTATTGTTTTAGTTGAAAGCTCTTAACTTAAATAACAATGCTGTTCATTGTGGTTTCTCAGTTATGCTTGCAATTCATAGGAAATCCTGACATCATAAAATTCCCCCCTGTGTTGCCTCTGTGAGACAATAAACAGCATTTCAAAATGTAATCAGCACCTCATTTACTGTTGAGCATGACCATTGCTTAGTGTGACGTTCAAATGTACAAAGAAAATCATCTATGTTTGGGTGCGGTACTGAGATCATTGACCTGGTTGGCTGCCCAGGAAAGTATGCAGGTACCATGAGAGAATGCCACCACAGGAAAAACAAAAACAAAAACGTGGAGCCATCCCAGGGCCACGGGCAGGTGGGAACTACCAGAGAATCATACATCCGGCACATATTAAATGAGCAGCTGGTGTAGGCCAGGCACCAAGTTAGTGCTGGGAAAACATCCTGTGGGTTTTATGGCTTAGCTATTAAAGTAGTTATTTAAAATACACAAATAAATATATAATAAGAATTTCAGGTTGCAGCAAGAACCAAAAAGGAAAAGAGTCTGAATATTTCAAGATTGTGTACTAGTTCCCTCTTAACCAAGGGGGATACACCCTAAGACTCTCCGTGGATGCCTGAAACCATGGAAAATCCTGAAACCTGTAGATGCTGTGGTTTTTCTGTATATACATAGCTTTTCACTTAAATGATATCCAAATTGCCTGCATCACTACCGCTACCGATGGCTTTGGAGCCATTGTGACGTAAATGAGGGTGATGTGAGCACAAACACAGCAATATGGTAGGGCAACAGTGGGCCTGACCACTCAGATGGCCACGCAAGACTAGTGGGTGGGGAGTACACACAACATGGGGGCACTGGACAAAGGAATGATTCACATCCTCTGGACTGGACGAAGGCGGGTGGAGTGGGACGTGTTGAGATTTTATCACACCACTCAGAAGTGTTTATTTCTGGAATTTTCCATTTAATATTTTCAGATCAAAGTTGACCACGGACAACTGAAACCACAGTTAAGGGTGGGGTGGGGAGGGGACTGCTGTACCTCCTAGGCATTTGGCATTTGTTAAAATGCAAATCCTGATTTGGCAGGTTTGGGCAGAGCCTGGGAGTCCATTTCTGACAAGCTCCCAGGTGCTGCTGCTGCTGCTGCTGACCCACAGAACACACTTTAGATAGTACGATTGTAAGAGGCAATATCTAGGAGGAGGACCTCATTCATAGGAGGTAGATGAGGCCTCTGTCTGTCACTTGAGGGCTTTCTGGTTTCCTAACTTCAGACAGGAGAGGTCAGAAACAAAGCATCTTTATACAAGAAAGAATCCTGTGGCTTAAACCTTGGGTGCCCAGGGCATCCAAGACAGGAGTGTGGCTATTCCTGTTTTGAAGAGCTCTTGGGACAAAGTCTCCTACTTCTCCTGGCTGCCCATGGTAGGCAAGATCAGAGAATCAGAGCCAGAGGGGAGCCTAGACATCTCTCAGTCCATCAAACTATTTTTACAGAAGAGGAAACTGAGGCACTCGTGAGTCAGCTAGTGGCAGATCTGAACCAAAGTTCTCTGGTGCTCTTTCCACTTCCCCAGAACAGTGGCTATTCTCAGAGGCCAATAATAGGAAAGCTCATTCTTGCCCCCTCTCCCCTCCCATTTGGAGATAGAAACGCAAGGTACAAAGGGATGATGGCTTTTAAAATTTGCTGAGGACTGTATGTGCCCTGGGTACTATGCTAAGGGCTGTCCATTAGTTTCTCTTTGGCAGGTGCCTCTCATCCTAGAATTCTCTCCCATGTCTTGCCTGGGGATCTGGATCCTGGCTGGGGAAATGTGAACCATCTTGCTCAGTGATTTGGCTTTGAGGGGGAAAGTATGTAGGCTAGACACAGGCCCAAGCCAATGGACCCTCAGGTTGTCATTCTCAGCTTCACTGAGTAGCTCAGGAAACTTCATCTCCATGGTTACCAACCAGCTACACTTCCTTCAGTGTACCTCTTTCAGCTTAGACTCTGGGTGTCTGATGGGTGCCTCCAACATTTCTGTGCATGGAGGGAGGAACTGTCACTTTTAACCTGCTCATCCAGGTGAAATGACCCAATCCCAATCATCTTGCCTGCCGAGGACTCTGTTTCCTCATTTCCTTTAATCACTGTGATTACAGGGCTAATTATCCTTCCCTCCACTGAGTTGTTGCAGGCATGATAAAATGTTATATATAAAGTGTTAGTGAATGCTTGAAAATTGTACCTATTTTGGCTACTGTCTTGATCCTAATGCTGTGCAGGGGAATCAGCTCCCAAATTTGCTTTTGACAGAAGATGCTCTCTTTGATTGAAAATGGCCAAAGGGGACTCCACATCCCCTTCTTTGCTGGCCTCACGTTGTCTTGTAAGGTGGGTCACAGAGATCTTTGCCAGAAATGCCTCTTATTTTCAAGTTAACATGACAAAGCACTTAATCCTCTGAGGTTAAATGCCTTATTTTATTTGGCTTTTACTCCAAGAGTTAGTGACTAAACAAGACTTAGAGAAGTGACTTAATGATTACAGAAGGCCCCACAGATAGTAAATAGTGGGGAGAGGATTCAAACTCAGGTGTGTTGAGTTGGATGGCATACCACAGTGCCTTTCTTAGGGTAGGGCAGGATTAAGCTGAGGCAGAAAATTCTCCTGGGACATTATGAGAAAGTGGATGGAGGTCATAGAAAATTCCCAGGAGAAAGAAGATTTGTATTAGCAGTCTTTGTCTTGATATGGTTAGTGAAAGTGGAAATTGGAATAGAGTGGCTCCAAGCAATGATTCTCCCAGTGGGGGTCTTGTTCAAATGCTGGTTCTGGTTCAGTAGGTCTGAGATGAGTCTTTAAGCTATGCATTCCTAATGGGCTCCCAGTGATGCCAGTCTGCTAAGCCATGGACCATACTTTGAAGAACCAGGGCTTAAAGTCATCACTCAACAGGCAGTTAGGACAACTGAGGTCTTCCTTTTCCAAGAAATGGGGAATGGCTATAGGAGGCTGAGTGTGGGTTGAGGAAAACTTCCTGGACTGCCGATGGGGATGGAATCCTATCCTCTCCCCTTCCTCCATCAATGCTTCTTGCCACTTGGGTCTACTTCCTGCTGCTCCCCTGTGCAGCCTAACTGACCACAGTTC